GCCTAGTTTACAGCATAGGACTTCATTTTATTTAACTAAGTGAATGAACGGTTAGAGAGTTTTTAAACACTAATTTCATACTTGTTGGAACTTCCTTTTTAAAGAAAGTTTTGTGCATTTAGCAAAAGTTATATCTGCAGACCCGGAAGCCTTTGCTTAGAGGGCCTAGAATTTTGGGAATTAGGGCAGTCTATCAAGTTGAGGTAGCTTGATAATGCATCATCAATTCAGGTTCCTCTGAAGACTGGACTAGATACAGAGCCATTTCTACTAGCATTAAACTTCAGACAAAAGCATAGCTATCAAATAGTTTTGGAAACTAAAATGCTTTATTTACGTGTGTGTGCCAAGCAACAGCCTCTGGACTTTTGTGATTTCAAGAAGCATTTGGTTTCTTGGCTGCCTTACTGAGCCTGCTCTTTGACATCTGTCATACTGTCCCTCCACCTGCCAGCTTCAGCACACAGATCTACGGCATAACCCACAGCTGCAGAGACAATTCTGACTCGTGGCAACACCATGTCACATACGCCTCCAGTTTCAGACTGCCTGAGGTTTTACTAAGTGGACAGACCTTTGCTAACCCTTTGACAGCAACTGCTTCACTCCACTCCCCTAACTTGCCTTTCAGTTTCACAGGGTACAATATACATACAACATCAACAGCAAATGTGAATTAGATTGGGTGAATTTTGTTGGCAAAAAATTGTTAGAAATTCTTGAAAGGGTTTGAAAGATGTTATTTAGCCAGCATTGGAAATAAACAACTCAGTGTCTTCACAGTAATGGCAAGTCTTAGAATTATTAAAAAATATCCCCTACAGATACATCACCGTCCTCACAGTGAACACTTTCATGGTACTGTCTATGAACCATGTCATATTCTTGGCACTTTGTATGTATTAACATAAAATCTTCATAACAACCAAATAAGCAGAACAGATATCCCCATTTTATAGGTACAGGAAAATAAGGCATCTAGAAGTTAAATTACTTGCCAGGATTATTGTATTTTTATACAAATAGCAGGCACATTCTACATTTGTTTGCCAGCTGTGCCCTCCCACCTCAAGGTATGTTCGGAAGCACACCATGCCATTTTTTTTTACATGTTGCTGTACCCAACCAGCAAGTGGTAGAGTTGGAATTCAAACCCAGGACACACAGAAAATTCTCCTTTATGGCAGACAATCACATTACATTTATTTAGACAGCTCCTGTAATTTCCATCATGAAAATATAATTTAAATGACTCTACTTATAAGCATTTTTGCCTGTGTAGAAGAACCAGAAGTAAAGATGAACCATAACCGTTGACTAATAGCAAGTGCTATTTACACTGGTTAATTCGGCTTGAAAATAAGCATCAGCAGATTATAAAATGGGCTGATAATGTATGCGCAAGAATCTGAGATTTAGAAGTGACTTTTTTTCATCTGATTTTAACCACTGGAAAAAGATCAACTAGATAATTGTTACAATGGTTTAATTTAACCCAAATCTTTGGAGAAGACCTAGTCTTACCAATTCCCTACTCAGCAAATAACTCAGTAAATTGTTCATTAAAAAGAATAAGTTATTAATGTGCTTCAGTCAATGCTGTAGTCACATATTTATAATCCCACTCATGCTGAAGCTTCATTCATCCCATACCAAAACCAAACCCATTGCTATCAAATCGATTCTGACTCATAGCGCCCCTATAGGACAGAGTAGAATCACCCCATAGGGTTTCTAAGGAGCACCTGGTGGATTCAAACTGCTGACCTTTTGGTTAGCGGCCACAGCTCTTAACCACTACACCACCAAAGTTTCCATTCATCCCATAGGGCCAAATATCCACTATAAGACTGCTCTGCACTGTCAGCCTCAGGTGTCAAGGAGGCTCTTTAAACCTATCCCAGATAGGTAAAAATCTTCGTGTAGTGTTGAGAAAATTAGAAATGTATTATAAGTAATATAAGCTCATTTGGTAAACATCCTTGTTTTCTTATATTTAAAAGAGAATTACCTTTTATACTTCAAAATACTATGTAATTAAGAATTTTTTAAAATCAAAACCAATATACTACCAGATATAAAACTGTCACCTTAAATTGGACTAGAATTATGAATGTTTTACGGGTAATGACCCACACCCATTTCCCAAAACACCACCTGTCCTCTTGCAAATGAGATCTAAGGCATCTATCAATCCTGAAGAAAGAGAGACTATTTACCTGTTAAGATTATAGCCAACAGTTATTCCATTGTTTGCTCTTCAAGCGAGTTGGTAAAGCTTATACCTTCTTTTTTCCAGCTAGTTATAAAATTTGCTATTTCAGATTTTTGACTAAATTATTTCTTAGCTAAGCCCTGAATCTGTGGGGTAGTTCCAGGGCAGGATAAAAGACAAACTATTCTCATGGTAAACAGTATGAGTTCCTTCTACAAAATTTTATTATTGGCTCTGAAATTTAGACAGAAAAAGCTAGAAGTTTCAGAGAACCTATTAGAATAAATGTAAACACACACACAGTAGAATCCTTTCTGGGAGTAACATGATTTTCCTAGTTACTTGGGGCCCACATTAGAATCTCTGATCATCCACCTATATGTGGAGGTATGTAGAGAGCACTGCTTCCTATTTCAATCTCTATGAATTCTACTCCAAAGCGCTCAGGTGCTAACCAAAAGGTCATCAGTTTAAACAATCCAGCTGCTCTGCGAGAGAAAGATGTGGCAGTCTGCTTCCATAAAGGTTTACAGCCTTGGAAACCCTATGGGGCAGCTCTACTCTGTCCTACAGGGTCTTATGAGTCGGAATCAACTCCATGGCAATGGGTTTGGTTTGGCTTGGTTTTGGGTAACTCTGGCAACTGATCACGGGTAGATATACAGATACCTGTACAGTCACCACAAATAACTGCTTTTGTGATATACTGAGTAGGTATTAAGGAATCCTGCTGGCACAGTGGTTAAGCACTCAGCTGCTAACCAAAACATTTGCGGTTCAAGCCAACCAGTCACTCCACTGGCGAAAGATGTTGGCAGTCTGTTTCTGTAAAGATTACAGCCTTGGAAACCCTATGGGGGCAGTTCTTCTGTCCTGTGGGGTCTCTATGAGTCGAAATCTAGTTGACATCAACAGGTTTGGTTTGGTTTTTGAGTAGGTATTACAGACGAGAGATGATAGGCCTTGCAGGATCAGTAACCAAGGTGAGCCCGCGGGTTGAGGTGGGGGTGACCACAGTTCTGAAGTGAATTACCCAAACACAGACAGTACACATCATTACTGAGGAAGGAACTTACCCGGGCCTTCTGTTCCATTTCTAGCATCAATCTTTCATGTTGCTCAGCTATGGCCAGTGTTGCAGAATGGACCTTTTGATAGATCATCTCTCCTTCCCTCGTTTGAAAGGTGAACAGTCCTTCTCCCGTGTCACACATTCTGTGAGAACAGAGATAAGCAGAGATATGGGTCTTCATGTGTTCTACTGTGTAATAGATCTCCAGGTAAAAGATGCCCTTGCCCTGTGTCAACAGCCTCCTTGACCTTTGTAGGAGTCAGGTAAACAGATTCATCCTGGAGCAAACAAACAAACACATCTTTCAGTGGTACATGAGAACAAAACTAGGGGTGAAGAAAACCCATGTATATTTTTATTTTTTTGAGATGAAGTGTTCACAACAGTGTAAAGGAACAGGTAAAAGTGACTGAGGTTATGCAATGCATCTCTTCCCAACATTTAAAGAATAAAAGCAATAAATAAAAGTAGAAAAAATTTCTTTAAAGGTTTTCACATTTGTGATATAATACCATTATCACCTATGACTTGATGGCTTTTCAAATTTTAAAGAGCTTAAGAAAAATCTGCAATTTTATACTCATTGCAATGGGAACCAAGGCGAAAAACATACATTTTTTAATTGATGGATTTGCATACACAGTCTGAAGATTTTAATTAAACTGAGGAATCCTTAAGTAAAGTGTTGTATATCCCAGGGAACAACATGGCATAAAAGAGACTCTATTTGGCTATGGGAATGTTTGTTTTGAATTTTGGCCCTGTCACTTACTAGCCGTGTCACCTTGGGCATGCTGCTCCACCTGCCAATACCTCCTTTCCAAATCTCCAAAATAGGAATAAAAATGGTACTCATTTCATAAGATCCTTAGAAAGTTAAATAAGATCATACTCAAAATATTTACAGTGGTATTTTGTTGTTATTGTTGTTAGATGCCGTCGGGTTGGTTCCGACTCTTAGTGACCCTACGCACAACAAGATGACACTGCCCAGTCCTGTGCCATCCTCACAATTGTTGCTATGCTTGAGCCTGTTGTTGCAGCCACTGTGTCAATCCATCTCATTGAGGGTCTCTCTCTCTTTCCCCGACCCTCTACTTTACCAATCATGATGGCCTTCTCCAGGGACTGGTCCCTCCTGATAACATGTCCAAAGTTTGTGGGATGAAGTCTTACCTCCTCACTTCTAAGGAGTATTCTGGCTGTACTTCTTCCAAGACAGATTTGTTCGTTCTTCTGGCAGTCCATGGTATAGTCAATATTCTTTGCTAGCACCATAATTCAAAGGCATCAATTCTTCTTCAGTCTTCCTTATTCATTCTCCAGCTTTCGCATGAATATGAGGTGACTGAAAATACTATGGCTTGGGTAAGTCACACCTTAGTCCTAACAGTGACATCTTTGCTTTTGAACATAAGGTCTTTTGCAGCAGATGTGCCCAGTGCATATGTCATTTGATTTCTTGACTGCTGATTTCATGGGCGTTGACTGGGGATCCAAGTAAAATGAAATCCTTGACAACTTCAATCTTTTCTCCGTTTATCATGATGTTGCTTATTGGTCAGTTGTGAGGATTTTTGTTTTCTTTATGTTAAAGTATAACTCATACTGAAGGTTTTAGTCTTTGATCTTAGCATATAATTACTCAAAAAATGTTACCTATTACTATTGTCATCATAGATCAAATTTGGAAGTAATCTAAACATCCACCATAGAGAAATGGTTGGATTAATAATATTCTCATCTGATAGCCTATTATGGAGCTATTACTGTGTCATTTATGAGAGCATATCATAACATTGAAAATTCTTATCTAATATTTAGAGGAAAAATCAGAATAGAAAATCCTTTTCAATTATATCATTATAATTAGTTTTTAAAACATAATTTTTATTGAAGAAAGCCACTGAAGAGTTATTAGTTGATGGGATTATAGGTAAATTTTTATTAACGCAGACTAATTCTAAAGTGAAAAATATTCCTAAGTAGTATCTTAAGCCACCTTCAGAAAGACCCACCCAATATCAATATGATGCTAGTACTTAGGAATTGGATATTAACTGGATTGCTGTGTTGTTGGTTTTCACATTTTAACAACAAAAGACTTGCAAAAAATGCTCATGAGGCCAAACTATTTCTTAAAGCACCAAAAAGATTTTGGAATCTTCTCTATGATTCTCCAAGGAGTGTTCAGTAGAAAAGAAATGTCTCAAGAGGCTTCAGACATAAGAGGTTGCAACTGAGATCCCTTAGGGCCCCATAGAGCCAGCACTTAGCTTCTGTGAAAGAGATCTTAATAAAATTCACACAGCGTGAAATGGAATGTCCAAGGGAAAAATCAAGAGTTTTCACAAAGTGAAACAAAAGAATCCTCTTTTTTGATTCAAAGGAATAAAGAAATCCAACTGCAGCAGCAGCAGCAAAACCACAGACAAGCAGTGAGTACATTGTGTTTGCATTTTGTTCATTGTCATCTGGAAAACACTGCTTATTAGCCTTCAGAGATGAGATAATGAAGGTGGGAAAAGCTACTCCATACTCAGTCCTAGAGATGCAAAGGTCGGACGCTTGCCACTTCCTGGCACTTGGCTCTGACCAGCGGGGCGTTTGAAAGCTCACAGAAGGATTTTTTCACTCTTTGAAATGAAAACTACTGTAAGCTTCATCCTCTGATCAAGAAAGAAAGGATTTAAAATATTAGCATAAAAGGAAACAAAATTTGAGGTGGAAAATGCTCTTTCTTCAGTTAGGTACCCATGAACTAAAGCCACATTGAAAGTCAAAATCTCCAGTAAAACTGGCTCCATTTATGACTTTCCTCAGCAGGGTTGGAATAAATAGCTCTAGGTTTCCCTGGATATTGTTTAAACCATGTTCCTTTGGGACTTGGGCACGGATATGGAGATATACCCACAATCGTGAAGATGCTGCAGGACTAGCAACGTTATTTATCTAATACGTAAAGTCAAGAATCCCTTGAGGCACAGTGGTTAAGCGCTCAGCTGCCAACCGAAACGTCGGTGGTTTTATCCACCAGCGGCTCCATGGGAGAAAGATGTGGCAGTCTGCTTCCATAAAGATCACTGCCTAGGAAACCCTATGGGGCAGTTCTACTCTGTCCTACAGGGTCACTATGAGTTGGAATCTACTCAACAGCAACGGGTTTTTATATATAAGGTCACCAAGAGTGGGAGCAGACTCAATGGCAACTAACACCACCATCATCAACAACAGGGCACAGATGTGGAGACTTTTTCTTATGTGCCTAAACAGTTTTTATGGTAGTAAGTCTGTACTAAAGAAGATGAGAAGGATAAAGAGGAAATGACTAGATAGCTATAGCCTTGGCTACTCAAAGTGTGGTCCACAAACCAGCAGTACTGGCATCTCTGGGAGTTTGTCAGCAACGCATAAACTCAATTCCCACCCAGACCACAGAATCAGAATCAGCATTTTAACAAGATTGCCAGGTGATTCATGTGCATATTATCATTTGAGGACAGATCTATACGACTCTTGCCAAGAGCACACCTGTCAACATTGCATTGAAGGGGAATGGGAGATGACACTTGGGGCCCAAATGAAGAATGAAGTCAAATTAGAATCCATATTTGGACAGCTTATTTTATATTGTGATGTACGAAACTGAAGATCAGGAAGGAAGAAACATAGTAGAAGGGCAAACAACCCAAAAGAATCCTTAACTTGGGAAGAGCTAAAACAGAGGTGCTAGTTATATTTGAATCTCCTAACTCCTTTGCCTCCAGCATACATATTATTCAATTGTATTTAATTTGTGAAAAAAGTAAAAATATGTACCATGTATGTTTGTCCTGGCCCCAAACAAGCATTTTATTGATATTAATAGAAAAGGAGAAATATTATCTCTGTTTAACAAAGTATAGTAAAACCTGTGAAAGCTAGAACCTGTGTAAGGTAGAAACCTGTCAGAAAAGGAAGACTCAAAATATTTTCTACTAATAGCATTGGAAAAGTGGTAAGACTGTACCCTGTCAAAGTAAGAAAATTTTCGAGACCTGGAAAAAAAGGCTGTCTCATCAAGTTTCAGCTCTCATAGGTTTTAATGTATTTTCACAAAATTAGTGTTTCTGCTTATCTAAAATAAAATTACAGTGCAATGGATTGCTTTTTTGTGTCCTTTCTC